GAAATTCATACTCTCACCTGTAGCTTTAATTGACCGAATTACAGATCACGAAAGAAAGTTTTTCCCTCTTAGTTCCTGGGTTTTTCTGAAATGTTGACACATTTTCCGATAACAGCAACATTCAAGGTATATGCTGGGTAAATATAACGGGTTTACTTTTCCACTAGTGAACAATGGAACATTTGTGACACGCCCTTCTCTGTTTATTTACCCGAACCGAATTCATCAGATTCTCATCTTCGCCATAGAAATTCAAATTAGTCCATCAACTGTACGGTGCTGTCGAGAGGTAAACCGAATATATTCAATAATTCATGGGAAACTATAAACAGAAGATTCGGAGAGACGCAAGGTTGTATACGTTTCACCTGTTATTAGCATCAAGGGGTGGGTTTATTTACCGCATCTAACGCGGCACTCCATACTTTTTATGTTCCACTGAACATCGAATGAACACCCGAATGCCTTCATTCGTCAAGGCTGACAGCCCAGTTTACATCAAGTTGTTTTGGTATACAATCACGGAGTTTATGAAAGGAAAGTTATGAAAAGTTCTCCATAATAGAATCTACAGTGTAATAAAATCATTGGGTTTGCACTATAACATGAAATATCAGTTATTCATGTAGCAGGGGTGGCAGTATTCTCACACATCCCAATTCATAGCCCACTGACTAATAAGAAAATTTATTTGTTAATCAGGAATTCTCGTAAAGGATTCCATAAATCTTCACAGAATACTGTATTAGAGCCTTTCCTAGGATATTTTTTGCTGATATCCACCGAAAATTCAAAGGATATCTCAATTCTATTACAGTTCACGGCGTTGCATCCTTGGGATTTTCCTATGCATTTCTCAGGTAAAAACGGGATACGGTGAAATGTTATTTCCGTTCTATTATTCCGTATGATGAACGATTTTTGTCCGATATTCAATAAATAATGTGTGAGTGTGTCTGGGAGTTGACAATATCAAGTTTATGTATTCAATTGTTTCAGAGTTGTTTTTTAATGTCTGATTTCGGTACGGTTACTTTCTCTCAATATGATCCATTTTGTTCCAGTGTGAAGAAGTGTATATTGTTTTTGGAGCAGTGAAATATATCTTTCTCGTTTGAATTGAAAGTGATATATTTTCAAGAGAGATTCAATATTGGGAATGAAAGGCTTTGGCTTTCTACTTCTCCATTCTATTACAAAATATGTGTGAAGTTTCCAAAGGAAGGGAGAAAACAATTAATTTATCAAAGGACACAACACTACAGGAAAATCATCAAGGCGCTTTAAGACCTGTGCCTGTGCAAAAGTAGCGATTCACATTGGATTTGAATCGCTGAAGATTAAATCCATTTGGAAAAACGTTCTCAGGAAGTTTATTCCACATAAACGCCGCTCTTGCTGGAATCAAATGTGATAAGTCACTTGAACACTTCCCGTGAAAGTATCTATCTAATAGAGACAAATCTCCAACCTTTCTTCGATGTTTCGTAATATCAAGATTGTGAGTGATGCTCGCTTCTCCAATCAGGTGGATGGCTCTTTTTTGGCTGGATTCAGGTTTTGCTCAGGGGCGGAGCTTCATACATGAGAACAATTCTCCAAGGTCTGATCTGGGCTTTATAAAGCATCAAAATTTGCTGAGGTGTTTACAGTTTTCTGGTTCGAAACAGTGTTCCAAACTTTCGAGAAGCAGCTTTTGCATTCCCACCGATATGATTGTGTTAAGACATATTGGTGTCCATTTTAACCCCCAACAAACTTATCGAAGCAGAAAGCGGCATTGTCTGTCCTATCATTATTATATCCGGTTCGGAGACATGTATCTTTTTGGCGTAAACCGATGCCTAGTTTTTGTGGTATAGAAATGAATCTGGTTACTTTCACCCTAATTCGGAATTAATAGATCCTCATTAAGATATGTAACTACTTGCTACCGGTGAAGATGTGCACCCGCAGGCGATGTCCTTGAATCCAAATGGAATGACGAGACAAGTGTGATATCGTCAGCAAAGCAACATATTGGAGTCTTGTTTTTTTCCAATAAGTCGTTGTATATATAAAAAAAGGTTGAAGACAATATGGATTCCTAGGGAACACCAGCGTTGATGAATATATCTATCAACGGCCACTTGCAGAAAACGTTCTTTCAGAAAGCTGGAGAGCCATGCACAAAATTAATCAGACAAGCTATAGCATCGAAATTTGGCTAGCAAACCCTCATGCCACACACGATCGAAGTCCTTAGAAATATCAAGCGCAATAGCATTTGAATCTCCATATTACTCGATTGCGATATTCCAAATATGAGTAACAAATGTGGGTAACGATAGAACGTAGCCTGTTGATCTTCGTTTCCGAAAGCCATATTGATAATCGCTCAAGATGTTGAAGCCTTTCATATATTTTAGAATATGCTGCTTTACAGGAAACTGAAAAGTCAAATCGGAAAGGACGAAAAAATGTATCACAAGAAAATTGAGGAAAATATAAATAATAATTTTCAATATCACTGATAGCAAAACGACTTGTCTATAGTTATATGAAATATTTTTGTTGTCCTTTTTGAGAATAGGCTAAACGCGAGCAATCTTTCCAGTGCGGGAATAGTAGGTGGTGCCTCTCCCAGAAAATCGACTGTGAAGTGGGACGCAAATTGTTCAGATAAGAGATTTGCTTTCACTATGACTATTGTGTTTGTGGGGCGCGGTGGAATTGTGAATTTTGTGAAGTTTTAATCAACAGCTTCAGCTGTTGACATTGGCAAGTAGTTTAACCCTGATTCTCTGATTGTGAAGTTCTTTGCTTTCATTTATTCTAAGTTTGCAGCTGTTGCGAGCATTAACAAACCAAATGTTTCGCAGATGCGAGTGGCTAGCTTTTCCAAAGGTTTTTACATCCTGGAATAATATCCTATGACAGAATATTATGGTTTTGTAGCACATATTTATGCTGTGTCAGGTATTTTGGAGTACTACTTCCTGGACCTGAATTAGGTAATTTGTCGGTGACATTCATTGACTCTTTTCTACCTGGCTTCTTGCTGTTTGCTTTCTTCGAACTTTTCAGAATGGGATTCCACATTCGATTGAGGTTCACCGCTTCTTCTTTTCTGTTGGAATTATCCGTGTTTTTGTGGATCTCCCTTACCAGTTGACTATGGTATCCCTGCTCGGACAAGTTAATTTTGCTTTTGAGGGGGACACATTTTAGATGTATTTTTCTACCTGTGCCTTCAACCCCCTAGCGAGGGTGAGTAACAACCCTAAAATTTTAAACAGAAAGTGGGGTCGAGTGATATATCATTTGAAAGGGCACAAAATTATCTTTCCAATGATAGCTAATTTGAAGGCTCTTCCAAATTCATTCATAGTTGGTATTCAAACCAATGCAGAAAATTTTATTGGTTCATTTCTCTGTGGTAATCACAATTATTTGTTTTAGAACAAATGATTAGGTTTGCTCCACGAATAAACCCGGTACTGCATCCAGCATGAAGTACAATATATCTTGAATTAAAAAAAAACAGCAAGTGTATTTTGTTTTCATTTTATGGTTGTATTTACCTTGCACCACCAACCTTAGTCTTTTTGACACTATCAACGTTGGAATTTTGCCAGGATCGCCCAATGGTACCATCTTTGAATATCCAAGTTTCATCCAAGAATACAAATTGGCGTAAACCCTCTTTCTTAAGTTTCATATAATCATATAAAAAGTGTATACGTTTCATTGCAATACAAGGTAGCTCCATCAAACCATGACGTGCATGATCTTTTTTGTATGCAAAACCAATTTTCTTCAGAATTTTCCATGAAGATGTCTTACAACATTTGAGAAGATCACGTTCTTTCAGTTCATCCTTGAAAGTTTTGAAATTTATATGTTTTCCTGAAATTATTGTTATCGTCAAATAGTATATATTGAATAAATCAATACAAAATACTTACTGGTTTTGTACATATCATAGATCACATTTCGAAAGGCACTTTATTCGAAATCATCACCCGTTTTCGCTGTTTCGATGGAGTGCTGAATACACCTCTACTAGATTTAGTCGCAATACGGTTTACAGTAGTAATACTTAACTTCAAGGCATCTGCAACCCTCTGAAATCAACATTCAACAAATATTTAATCCAACCCAACATTTATATATTCGCTGTATAATTTTTGTTCAGTTCTTATAGATGTAGGATAGGTAATTAATACAATTAATATAACTTACGTTCTCTTTCAAAGTAATCAATTGAAGTGACTACTATTTGTTGAGATTGTTTCGACAATGCTTTAGGCAAATTGAATATACTCAGGTTTCATCAAAAGAAAAGATAAGTTCTGAAAAGACAAGAAAGACTGACAGTTTTCGAGTTCTTTTCGATTCGGCAACGTCTGAAATGAGCAACTTACAAAATGTAATTTTACTAGTTTCATTGCTATTGAACGCATTTCAGTGGGAATTTTAACGTTGTTATGTTGGATATACAAAGTGACCAAAAATGACGTCATTCTCTTATTAACTTGAACAGCCTATTTGTGCCTATTGCGCCGTAGACCGGTGGTTTCCGATGTCTGACAGATCATTCACTAAATGAACTGATAGACCTCTTCGGGAAACTGGGTCGAATTGGAATTGCTTGAGTCATAATGAACCATCGCGGTTTTTTTTGAGTACAAAATACAAACACTACAATGGAGGATCAAATATATTCACTCATTTTGAAACTAACCTATCCTGAGCTGAAGGACCCTTTCGTACTGCTGTCGATTCTGTTGTCGAGTTATTGTTCTGATCAGTACACTATCAGTAAGACGGAGAAATCTAAATCTTTCATAAATTATTATTCAGGAAATTTGTATCTAAGAGTTAAAATAAGAAAGGTGTATTGTTCCATAAAAATATTAAAATTATGCAAATTTCCCCAAAATCATGAAGAAAATATTAAAAATGTCGTCAGTGATTTTTTGTAAAACAAATTGATGACCTATACTCCCTCCTTTTAGGGCGACCTGGTCCAGATGAAAGCCGTCCCTTCCCTCGGCAGCGGATGCGAGTTGAAAGCGAAATCAGTGGAGCTCCTCGTCCTGTTGCACGGCTTGAGACACGAAAACCTCAATCCTCTGATCGGGTGTCTGGCGGAACCGCCCAGAGCAGCTCTCGTGTCCGAGTATTGCGCCAGGGGGTCCTTGCAAGACGTGCTCCAGCAGGACGACATCAAGCTCGACTGGTCGTTTCGGCTGAGCCTGCTCACGGATCTCGTCAGGGTGAGTGATTTTTTGGTGTTGCGGTTGTCGTGGATGCATCGAGGCGCGAAGAGAACTCTCAGAGACTTACTACATGGGCTGAAAAGTCTCAGGCGTAACACATAGATGGCGCTATTCTTATCGCATTAACCGCATTTTAGTTAGTACCAACCTTCAATAGAGGGCTGTTGATATTTCATGATATTATACTGATAAGTTTGTGAGAGAGTGACACTACTTTTGTTACTTTCAAAACAATGAATCAGAATCATTTTCGTGTTTAGATTTAACACTGCTTCTTGATGGAAAAAATACCGTAAAAACTTGAAAAGTATTTTAAGGACTTCTCTCCATCAGAAACAACAATTAAACGTTGATTGACTTCAAACGTGGTCGTAGAAACATAGATGATGCAGAACACAGTGAACGTACAAATGAGAGACTAACACCAGAAAACAATAGAAAAATCTACAAAATGATTTTGATTGATCGAAAAGTTAAGTTGCGTGAGTTAGCTGACATTGTGAAGATTTTAAAAAAACGTGTTAGCCTTATATTGCATGAGCATTTGACTATGAAAGAGCTCTGTTCAAAATGAGTGCCGCGCGAGCTCACTGCTGACCAAAAACAAGAATGTCTTGATGATTCTGAGCAGCGTTTGGTCATGTTTGAACATGACAAACCGGAATTTTTGCATCGATGTGTGACAATGGATGAAACATGGATTCATTACTTCACTCCGGAAACAAAAAGATCGTCATCTGAGTGGAGAGCAACTGGTGAATCTCGTCCAAAGCGCCCGAAAGCACAACAATCGGCTGGAAAGGTTATGGCCTCGATATTTTTGAATGTGTGTGGTTTAATATTCATCGACTATATTGGGAAGGAAAATACCATCAACAGTGAATATTACATAGCGTTATTGGAACTTTTAAAGGCCTAAATTGTGAAATAATGACCCCATTGGAAGAAAAAGAAAAAGCTGCTTCACATATAATTGAAAACGATGGTAAAATTATATGAAATGGGCTTCTAATTGCTCCCGCGTATACCATATTCTCCAAATTTGGCTCCCAGTGACTACGGGCTGTTCGCAGATCTCAAAAAATGCTTACTGGTGAAAAATTCTGCTTGAATGGAGAGGTTATTGCTGGTTATTTTGAGGCAAAAGATAAATAGTTCTACGAAAGTGATATTGAAATGGGGAAATGAAAGAATCGACGAACTTCAAAGTAGTTCACAGGTATAATTATAAAAAATCCGATTTTCTTGAGCTGAGTCGCACTATTAGAGATGTTGATTGGTATTCGGTATTGAATGAACATGATGTGAACGCAGCTTTAGGTAACTTCTATAAGATATGGGAAGATGTAAATAAGTGTGTACCTGAATTTACTGGCAATAGAAACTACACGTATACAATTTGGTTCACCAAAGAAACAAAAAGTATACTGAAAGAAAAAGAAAGATTTCGGAAATTGAAATCGCTGTCGGGTTTATATAATAACAAGTTTATGGAACTGAGAAGGAAACTGAAAAGTCAAATCAGAAAGGACGAAAAAATGTATCACAAGAAAATTGAGGAAAATATAAATAATAATATAAATGAGTTTTGGAATTTTGTGACTACAAAAAAAAAAACTAATACAAAATTGAACAGTTTTGTTTATAATAATGAATCTGTTAGTGAATAAGAAACAGTTAATGGTTTTGCAAATTTTTTCTCGTCAGTTTTTTGTTCACAACTACCTACATACGATTTGAATTTCAATAATAATGATAATACAGGTTTATCTAATGAAACATTCACTTTGCAGTCAATAAACTGATTTCAATGAAGCACTGACAAAATTGAAACCTAAAAAATCAGCAGGTACAGATGGTATGCCCACATATATTCTGAAAGGGTGCGGTGAATGGTTAAAAGCCCCTTTGATACACATTTTCAATTTAATTATCAAATCTAAATCATATCCAACTATATGGAAAACGTCCATAACAATACCTTCACATAAATCTGGCAATAAAATGGATGTTGAGAACTATAGAGCTATTGCCATCATGTGTGCACCAGCAAAATTATTTGAACACATTATTTTCAATGAACTCAGAAGTTTCACCAGTGAATATATAGTACCTCAACAGCATGGCTTCATGAGTCAATGATCAATTACGACAAACCTATTACTATTCAGTAATGAATCTATAGAACACTATAGAAAATAAATCACAATTGGACACTGTATTCACTGATTTCCATAAAATATTTGATCAGGTTCATCATGATGTACTTTTGGAAAAGATAAGCAGATATATATTGTCAAGCAATTTCTTAGAATTAAAAAAAATATCTACAAGAAAGACAATTCATTGTCAGATACGATGGAAATACATCTGGGAAATTTTTGGCCAATTCGGGTGTTCCTCAAAGTTTGAATTTTGGACCACTTCTATTCATGCGAGTATACATACGATTAAGCTACTATATTATTCTTTAGTAAGGCCTAAACTAGAATTTGCTTCTATTATTTGGTCCGGGGAATATCAAAAGTATCTATATTAATTGGAAAAGGTCCAGAATGAATTACTAAGATATTTATACTCGAAACAGTATCATGTGTGGCCTGATTTTAATACCATGAGAACATATCAGCTGGTTTCAGAATTCAAAATATTATCTTTGGAACAAAGACGGAGCTTGAACTGCATGATATTTCTGCATAAAATAATAAATGAAATTAACTCTTCAGAAATTCTTAATGCGATTCCATTCCTCCTTATCGTACACGTTCTACCCTCATGTTCAATATATCAAGAATAGGAAATCCAGCAAGGGCACCACTGGTTTACATTCTCAAATCAGTTAATAATTTCAACACTTTGATTGATTCATACTGGACCTCACCCCCAGCAATTTATCGTAAAAATATTTTAGACTGCATATTGAATACAAGTATTTGAGACTGATTTTCTACATCTCCACAAGTTTGGACTCAGTTCATCTCCTACAATTCTGGGCAATGACTAATAGGTAGTAAGTATAATATAGACAATACTTTTATGTAAATATTTGTAATTCACCTTATTTATCCTGGTAATTAGGCTGAAATAGCCTGTTTGGGTAATGAATAAATAAATAAATAAATAAAAATGTTACAGCGGTACTGGAATGATTGTGTGGCTCTCAATGGAGATTACGTTGATGAATGAAGCGAATTTAAAAAAATGTGTTTTCTCTCTTTCTTAGGCCCGAGACTTTTCAGTCCAGGTGTTACAATGATCTCCATACTCCAATTGCAATATCTATATTCAGTGATCTGGGGCCGTAAACTGATCAAGTTTTGTTACAACTTCATCGATATAAAAACTGACTATTATACATAACTAAAAGTATTCAACTTTTTCACAAACAAGAATAATGAATTGCTAACTATTACAATCAGTAATCTAGCCCATATTGACAAAACAGAAACTCCAGAGGAAAAGTATAGTTCCCAAAAATATTTGTCACAATTTGACCCCACTTAATGAGGTAGCTTTTCAACACCTTTACTTTACCATGAATACACATAGAAGTTACAGTTTGGTTGGTCTGAGTCAATATTTTTCATGTTAAGTTTGTAACAAATGTCTGTCATAAGAGAATTTATGTCACAAAGTGTACTCAAATAAGATCATTAATCAAGTAAAAATTCTTTATTTTCAACTCAAGCAAATGTAATATACACAAACATACCTATATGTTCATTTCTGGAACGAGAAAGATTCCTGATTCAATTCCTTTTGAAATGAAGTCTATTACAAGTGATAACAGATTTTTAAAAAAAACTGAAATTAGGGCTAACTAATATAACAATGGGTAGAATACATGAAACATTGGAATGAAAAAAAAATGAAGTAGTAATACAGGAAGAAAAAGCACATGTTCTCACAAGTAAGAATGTAAATATTTACAAGTATAAATGGAAATAATTTCACAATTTATGATCTACACCAGCTTTATACGTAAATTTGAACTTTTATTCATATATGTTTTAATTCACGTCGGTCATTATTGTTCATCATATTCTGTACTGTTGCAATCTTTTTGAACAAGGACTTACCTTATAGAATAGACAACAATTCTACAAATGTTTAGTCATCAAGGACCATATTAAGAACAGAACATTGAATGAAATATAAAATATATGACTTTCAATTACTCTATATATTCGGTGTATGAATGATGGATGTTATGACCGATAGTTTAGTTTGTAATGTTGTTTGTTCACTGGTTCATGTTCATGAAATTTTTATTTATTTTTCCATTTCAACTGATATCACATACAAAACGTCTTAATTCAGTTTATTGTTTCAGTTTTTTTTATCATACACAAGCTCTATGAGCTTCAGTAGAATGTCATGTTCATTTCTGTATTTCGTCTTGTTTATATGTATATGTATTCAATCTTATGAAATGAACATTATTATTATTATTATTATTTTGAATACAATTTATTGAAGATTGTTCCAGTATTGCATCTGAATGAGAAGTGTGTTTTTGTTTCATGATTCTCGATATTGATTGAGTGATTATCGAACTTCAACTCAACTTAGCTTCATTTATATATATTTTGTCGCACACTGTAATCCTCCAACTAAAAGTAATTTTAAATAATTAATACAATCAATATTTTTCCCAGGGCATGAAATATCTACACACAACCCCAATTAGAGTTCATGGTCTCCTCACCTCAAGAAATTGTGTCATAGATGCTCGATGGGTTCTCAAAGTGACAGATTATGGACTTCCTGCATTTTATGAGGCTCAAGGAATTCAAACCCCTGCAAAGACAGCAAGAGGTGAGTTAATAGAAAAATATTTCGTTATGACATATTGACCATATCCTGTTATACACAATCCGTCTTCTTCAGTAGTGGGTGCTTGATGCTCTCTTTTTTTCCCTGTACATAACTGAAATTTTATATCAGATGGGTCGTTCTGTCTATAGTCTACGGAATTTTGGATGACCGCAAAGATGAGTTAATCAAGATAGCTGAAGCTGTAAATATAACAAAAGGAACGGGAATTGATGATTCTGAGCAGTGTTTGAAACTGTTCCACCATAGAAAACCTTAAATTTTGCGTCGCATCGATATGTGACAATGGATAAAACATTGCTCCGTTATTTCACACCAAAATCTGGCTAAATATCAGAATTTTGGGATGCGAATGGTATAATATTCATCAAAAAACCTAGAAAATAGGCTTATGTTATGATAGATTAGATGCATATGTTTTTGAATGGAAATTCTGGTATCTGGAACCTGGTATCTGTAGAGTAGAGAGGGTAAGTGTAGGCTCACAGCACTTAGGCCACATGTAACCCATTGTACATCATCCCGAGGAGTTGTCCTTCTAGGTCATCGTCCATCCGTTCCTTTCCAGGAAGGTGAACAGGTCACTAGGAGACATCTCCTCAATATTGGCAGTTGTAGGCCAAGACTCGCCGAACACACACTCTCTTTGGCAACCTAGAGGTGTCTCACGGTGGCCTCCGCGAAGTTTTTGGAGGGTGCAGCGATAATAATGTCGTTGCGCGGCTTCTTCAACCTTCCCTCTGTGGAGGTGCATAAGTGAGGGAGCTTTCCTGCAGGGGCAGCCGGTTCCTTGCCTTTATTCAAGGCAGAGCTCTTGGCGCCCGCCGCAGGAAGTGCCCTTGCTGTTGGAGGTGCTCTGCTATGTCCAGCCTCATTCCAAGCGGTAGATTGGGGTGGACATTTCTGTTCATCCCCAGCCACCGCTTTAGATTGAGGCGAGCACTTCTGTCCAGCCTCGGGATTGGTTTTTGTTTTTATTGTTTCTATTGTTTCATTCATGTGTGTTCCCACGAGTAGCAAGGGAAGAATTGGTCACCCTGGCAGAGCCCCGCATTACCAGAGGTAGGCTGATTATAATGAGCTTGGGTAGGCTGGTCCACGGTGGCATGTTTTGCAAAGCCTTTTGGGGTTCCCCTCACCCTACTTTTTTTTGCCACTGACCAGGAGAGTCCGGTAAATCCGTCCGTAAGGCCACATTGGCTTCCCGGACAGGGCCTCCAGTCCCCTGGCCGTTCCCCTATCCGCCACCTGCCTATCCGCGCACAACCCATGGGTCGAATGAACATTATAAAGACATCTAGAAAAGACTCCACCAATCGTTGTTCCATGTCTTGTGGTAGGCTCATTTCGAATATTATTCATTTGTAGTTCCAATTTATCTTGTAGAGAGTTTACCAAGAGGTGTCCATTTCCGGTTACGAAATTAACATTGACATCTGCTAAAATCAGTGGCAACTCATGATTGAATTTGAATCGCTGAAGATTAAATCATTTGAAAAAACGTTCGCAGGAAGTTTATTTCCGAAGTTAAGCGCTCGTAAGGAAGTTTTACTTCAATAAACCGGCCACCGTGGTTTGTCATTCCATCGAGACTCCAGGAACGTGACACAAGTAAAGTGACAAGCCGAAGCTACCCATGATCAATGTCCCGTTGAAATTAAATTTTAAGAAGACAAGCTGATGTGAATGAGATTTTTGAGACTTCAATAATGTTTCATGTGACAGACCAAGTGGAAGAGATGCTAAAACTTTCAGTTTCAATCGTCAGGGTCGGCATTTCGAGGCAATTTGGGGGGTCGACGACCCTTCAAAAATTGGCAAATGACTGTAATTTGTAAATTTTTGAGTAAAAATTACGGAATTAGGGAAAACTATTGCTGTATATGTCATGTCAGGAAAAACGAAAAAAGAGGAATGATAAATATGATTTGGATTTTTTTAATTGTTAATTTTCAACTAGAACATTCACCGATTTAATGAGAGTGGTCATTCGTGGAGGGTAATAATAATAATTATAATAATTGTTCATTAGTTCTTCAGATTATGGCTATAATAATATAGAACAAGTCAGTTTAAAAAAATATTTATTAGATAAAATTAATATTGAAAACATTTCACACAAATTGTAGTCAATATTATTAATAAAGTAATTGATAATTGCATGAAAGCATGTAAAGGGACTCAATATAATAGTATCGGTGGTTGATTATTTGTAATTGGTTTTTATTACTATTTCTCACATAATACAGAAAAAGTCAGGTGTCTGGAACAGTTTGTCCACGCGAATTTTTGATTATACAAATGAGAGAGACTTAATTTATAAACAGAATGCAGATCATACAGAAAACACCTGAAAGCAATAAAAACAAGTGGTTTGATGAAATATCAAATATAAAAATATGCATGCATACATAAAATATAAAATCAGTTAAAATCTGTGTCTCCCTTATACTCACTTATAGAGTAGTACACTTTTTTTAATAAGATTTTTTTGGCAACGATTTTGAATTTATTCAAAGGAAGATCTTTGTAGCAGTTTGGTAGAGGGTATGCACCAAGTAAGTAGGGAAATGTGATGTTGATCAGTTGGCAATACACGGACGAGCGGTGATGTAGAGGGTGAAGAACGCAACCATCTCGTATCTGATGTCTCTTGCAATGATTTTTGGCACATGTACAAACAGGCTTCAATTCTGAAGATATGAAATTAGTTATTTATTCAGATATATTAATATTGGAGGTTTATGTGATCTTATAGATTTAGTGTGTACGTCCAAGGTTGGGTTTAAAAGCATCATTGAATACGATAAATAAAGGCATCTTATCATTATTATTATTAATTCATTTTCATCAGAACGATAATCAGTCACGTCGTCATCTGATTTCTGGTATTCTGAATGTTCAAAATAACTATTTTTGAAAAAAATTCAAACCACTTTCCCGTTATGAGTTTCGGATCCATTAGTTTTATTGATTTTTTTCAAGCTTAATACATGTTTTTCGAACCTCTCAACTTTCAGCAGATCGTTGTATGAAGACTTGAATGCCGTGTACCCATACTATTTCATATTTCGGAAAGAGATCAAGCTGTCGCGAACAAAGTAGAAACTAGCTGCTGCTTCAAATTACACGATTTCAAATGTCGGTCGAAATCTGTGGCAAATGCCTGGAAGTCAAATTATGTGCTTCATAAAGGGTTCATGCCTCATTCAATTGAATCCTGAACGGGTTATTAATTGGTTCTGACAACGTCAGAAGTGCTTTTGCCATTGTGACTAACTTTACATAGTTTTCGTTCTTTGAAACTTGGTAATTCATTATTAGATTCCATTTCATAGCAAGAAGGCTAAGAACAGTTCTCGTGAGTTTATTGAAGTGTATTTCATTGAAAAAAATGTGTATTTCGTCTAGCTTTCGGGAAAGTTTCTTGTGGCCGAGGAAAAATGGTATATTCAATGCGTTTACAGTAATTTACAATTATTTCCATACTGAATGAAACTCAATGATAATGTTCCAAGGTGCATCATTCTAGATAGTCTAGATTCAGAAATATAATTTATTCAATGAAGGATTTTCAACAATTTCATCGTATGATGATAGTACACTCGAGATTTCATACCATTTGACCTCTTCTCTACGTCAGCTCAAGAAGTTCTCTCAATTAAATTTGAAACCTCATATTTATAAAAGTGGTCATCAGTTGTTTACATTCTAAAATACTTTTTTGGTTGTTACCTTTGTCGATGTAGTGAACTTTGAGCACGATATTGTTAATAGATCCTAAGCTCTAGGTAACTATTTAAAAACCATTTATTTATCAGTGAAAATGATTTTAGAAATTATGCGATATATCACTTCTCAACGTGTAGATTCGAAGTGATATGATATTTTTAACGCGCTTTCACTTGTTCACCTGTATGTATGTATGTATGTATGTATGTATGTTTGTTTGTTTGTAACTCTCAAGCTCGGGATCTGTATGTGACAGAATTATCGACATTATTGCTTGATCTATTCGCGGGTAGATGGAGCTGTACTCCTTGATATAATTCGAACTCACTTTACATGTATTTCTTTATTGTAAAAAAGTATTTTTTCATTAACACGCGCTCCTGCTGCCTTATTTGTAACCCTCCTTTGCACGCCTGCTGCCTTGGGCTTGGTAGCTGATTTTCAGGCTCCCTCTCCGGAATCGAAAAATATCAATGGTCATTTTTCTAAACAATATGAGGCAAAGTTTAGATAAAATAAATATAGTTTGAAAAGACTAAAAAACACGCTTTCATAGCATACAAAACTAGAAAATGAAAAATAAATATAGTTTAAAAAACTAAAAAACACGCTTTTAAAGAACATCAAACTAAAAAGTTAAAAATATTTTTTTTAAGTAAGCTCAAAACAATAACGAACAAAAAATGCTAGTATTATTGTGAAAAAAGCGACGTGCGCTTGATATATAAAAAATATGGCACAAATGCTTTCTATAGTACTAGTATTTTTCGTTCGTTATTATTTTAAGTTTATTAAGATAAATATTTTTAACTTTTTAGTTCGATGTTCTTCAGAAGCGTGTTTTTTAGTTATTTAAACTATATTTATTCGAACTTCTTGTACTATTGACGTTTTATAATATTCTGTATGTATGTTATAATTCTGCGATATCCATTTTTGAATCATAACTCTGCAAAGAATAATTTTGATTGCCAATTTTTTACATGTCAAAAATGCAAACAGTCATTTTCACAAGAAATCTATCAATCATTTCCTTTATAGCGTCAGTGGAATTCAACTGTATTGTAACAGTATAGAATAAAGTGAATTGAATCAGATGCAGTGAAGTACATTTATGAAGAATCAATGCTTTCGAAATGAGTCTTTATTTTCAGAATAGGATCCTAAAAATTGAAAAATATACTTTTCTTTTTCTGCCGGAAACACATGCCTCCATATATTCGGAGACCCTGGTTTACCGTAGCAATTGA